TTGACATGTGCGAGCCTGGCACCTTAACGCAGTCTCAGGCCCACCTGCAAGTGCGTGCACCTTATAGTGACTGAACATGCAAAAGCCCCACGAGCAAAGCGCTGGCCCGGCAGCAGAGCTCAGCCCTGTAGGGAGCTGGGTCTCACATGGGTGGCCGTGGTTCGCATTTGGGCCCTGTGGCTCAAAGGCATGCTAGTACACGCGTGCACACCTAAAATCCTGGTGAGATGGCGGAAGAAGGGCTGAGGGTGACTGGCCGTGGGAGGTGTTCTCACCTCTTCTCTGGTGCGAGAATGCACATACTCTGTCGGTAAAGGCAGGAAAGGCCTGAAAGGGTTGAGTGTAGTTTCTTTGTGATACCGTTTTTAATTTTAAAAAGTATTCTGTGGGAGAGGAAGGAGGAGACAGTGACCTGCACCCTTAGGGCTTCATGCCCCAGCATGCCCCTCGTCTGCTGGCTGGGACCCCAGGTGGACGGGTGCCCGGGGTGCTCACAGAGGGCCTTCCCTGTGCCGCGCCATGAGTGACCGCTGTGCCACAACTGGCCCTTCTTATTTCATTGTTCTTTACGTGTTCAAAAACTGCTTAGGTATTGGGGGACCAGCAGTTAGTGTAATGCCTATGTCGCTGGACTCCCACATAGTCCACAGTGGTTCAAGTCCTGGATCTGGTGTCTTCAACTCAACGCTGGGCGTGTGTGCGTGCGTGCATGCCCAAGATTCCGAGAGGAGAAGGGATTGTGGTGTGGCCATTCCCCCTGGGGGGTGATTTCTTGCTTTCTGTCTCTCTCTGTCTTTCTGGCAAGCGCACATGCCCTGTGGCAAAAACCTCTAAAAAAAAAAAACCCAGAAAAACCAAAAAACAAAACTGCTTAGGTACGGAAGTATGTTTCATGTATGTGTGCGTTTGATGAGATTATGTATTTCCCATTCATTAGTAGCAGAACCCTTTTTTGTTTGTTTTTAAAAATTATTTAGTTTTATTTATTATTACTTGTGGATTTCCTGTAGGGCTCAGGTGAGAGAAAGTGAGAAAGCAAGCTGCCAGGTCCGGGACTTGAACCTTGCTCAGCCTTGTGGGAGCCCTGCACTTCAATCACCATGCCGTCTGCCAGCCTGCAGGACCCTATGTTAAGTCCGTTAAATCATGTTAAGTGTGCTACCAATATTCTGTTTATTGATGGAATAGTAGATGTGTCTCTTATTTTTTTCTTTTGAGAGGTTTTTACTATAGGGCGTGTGCACTTACCAGAAAGACAGACAGACAGACAGTGAGAAATTACCCCCCACAGTGGGGATGGCCACACCACAGTCCCTTCTCCATTCTCTTCTCAGTATCTTGGGCACACACGTATACACGCCTGGTATGAGTTTAAGCCACCGGGTCCAGGACTCAAACCGCGTTCGACTATGTGGGAGTCCAGAGACATAGCCATTATGCCAATTGCTGGTTCTGTCTTTAAATTTTTTTAAAAGAATTATTTACTTAATTTAATTTATTCAGTCAGTCATTCATTTTCACATGATCAGAGAAAGGAAGACCTCGGAGAGAAGGACCGTGAAAGCAAGCTGCCAGGTCAAGGACTCCTGCCATGCGGCAGTACCCTGCACCTTAACCACCACACCACCGGCTGGCCTTCCCCTTAATTCTTAATTTTTTTTTAAGAGCTTTTTGCTATAGGGAATGGTGCTCGCCAGAGAGACAGAAAGCGAGACATCAACCCTCCACAGGGGATGGTCATGCCGCAATCTCTTATCCTCTCGAGATCCTGGACATGCGTACACACGTACTTGGCGTGAGTTTTAAGCCACTGGGTCTGGGACTCAGCCACAGTTGAATATGTGGGAGTCCAGTGGTATGACCATTACGCCATCTGCTGGTCCCGAGAGTTTACTTTTAAAAAAGATTTATTTAGTTTTACTCAGTTTTATTATTATTGTCTCAGTTTCCTGTAGGACATGTGGACTCACCAGAGAGAGAAAGTGAAAGTAGGCTGCTGGTGAGACTCGAACCGCGATTGGCCATGTAGGAGTTCAGTGCCTCGACCACCGCATCACCTGCTGGCCCCAGTTGATTTCTTTCGTGATGGACGGAAGGAGGGAGGGAGGAAGGAAGAAAGAAACAACGTACCCTGAACAGGGTCCCGTCACTATGCGAGGTTTCCCCTGGCCTGCAAGCAGGGACGGGCACGGGTGCCGGCTGGCACCAGTCCTGCACCCTGGATCCACGTTGCAGTGTGCCGCTGCACGGGTCAGCATTAGATCTTCAGATGCCAGAGGGCACATGCACGCGTTAGAGAGGAGGGACGGCCAGTGGGGCCTAGTCACTGCAGTCCGCTTTCTCCATTCCATTCGGGTCATGGGCACATGGCAGTGTAAGCCACCAGGACTGGGGCTTGAACTTCGATTGGCCATGAGGGATCCAGCCTTTTCTGCACAGTGCTTAGCTGCTGTGCGGTGTCCTTGACCTCCGTGGTACTTTTCCTTTTACAAGTGTTGGCGAGTTGTGCACAGAACCACTGGCTGCTGTGCCCATGCAGGATCCGTGGTTGCTAAGGTGCGGTCATCACCGCCCACGCCAGCCCTGCTCACTGCGGCCCCTCTGCACCACCGAACAGGCTCCCGCCCTGCCTGCCAACCGGCACTCCTTTCTGTTGGCAGTCCTTCTGTTTCTGTGCCGTGCTGTGCCGTTCAGGAGCCGCGCGAGTGTTTTATCCTCCGGTGTCTATTCCCCAGAGCCCTGTACTCCAGGGGTGTTCTTGATGTTGCCGCACAGGCTGGCTTCCTGCCTGTGTCCTGGGTGTTTTGTCTCTCTGAAACCATGTGGCGTAGTTGTTTAAGGATGCAGTTTATTAGAGGGCCAGCAGGTGGCATGGTGGGTAGGGTGCTGGACTCCCGTGTGGCCCACCACAGTTTGAGTCCTGGACCTGCTGGCTTGCTTTTTCACGTTTCCTCTCCCCCTCTGGTCAAATCATAATAAATGAATGAATAAATAAAATTAAATAAATAATTCTTTTTTAAGAAAGAAAACAATTTTAGGTAGTCTTTCATCATTACAGTTACCGTGTTTATCACGTTATTTGGTTTAATTAAACTGACGTTTGTAGAACACTGAGAATTGTTCTTGCTGTTAGTACTTGATAAACTTTGGTCATTTTTTGCATCTGTGGCCTCGCCATCAGTGCATGCAGTGGGCACTGCAGTGTGAACGGGAGGCTCGTGTTAGGGTCCCAGGTTTCCTTGAGCACCCTTGTGCCCCCGCTCCTGACTAGTGAGGAGGCTGGGACGGGTCAGGGTGGAGAGAGCCTGTCAAAGGTGGCTGTGTGTGTGTCACTCGCTCTCAGGAAAGTAACGAAAATGTACTCGAGACCAGTTTGTTTTATCGTCCCATTTCTGGGGTGCAGGTTGCATTCATTTGCTTTCTCTTGTATGTGGCTCTCCTTCCTGCTCCCAGGTCAGTAGCTGGCAGTCGAGGGACTTCCAGAGTGCTCGGTGATGAGCCCGCAGTGAGCAGGCCTGGCGCCCATGACGGAGAAGGTACTTCTCAGAGAAGGGCTTGCACTTCCGGGAGTGCCTCCCTTCTGTGCTGTTCTCCAGCACACACGTGTCTGCGTGGCCACCCCTGCTCACCCTGCTCTCCTCTGGGGCGCGGTAATGGAGTGCCGCGGGGTGCTCCCCACTGTCTGGGCCTGGCCTGGCAGCAGCAGGGTCTGCACGTTGCAGGAGGGCGTCATGGGCAGTGTGCATGCCCGTGTGTGTACTGGGCACGTGGAAATAAGTATCCTCCTTTTTTAAACATACATGGCTTCTATTTGCCAGGGTCCGTGTGCTTGCTGTATTGGGGCGTGACAAGGCACCGCCTCGAGGCATGGCCATGTCATTGCCGCACTTCCAGTTTTGCTTTCGGAATTCGGGGCACTCGTACACACACCTAGCCACCGAGTTGGGACCCGAACTGCAGAGCCAGCCATGTGGGATCTAGCTGCCTTAGCCTTTACGCCACTGGCTGGCCTGAAGCACGCCGATTCCCTGCCGTGGACTCTGTCGTAGCGTTGGGGATCACAGACACAGTGACCTTGGCACCTGCTCAGAGACGGAGCAGCTCAGTCCTGGTGCAGCTCAGCGGCATTTTCCGGCAGTGTGGCCCCAGGCATGGTTGGATCTGTTGATCCAGAGTGGTGGTCTTGCCTTGGACCTCCCAGGTGCTGGTTGAGGGAGGCTGCCCCGCCCCCGTGTCGGGCCCTGGCTTTGCAGAGGACAAGCTTTGTGCAGCCCTGCTGCTGGGGTGGGTGGCATCTGTGCAGCTCTGACCCCGGTCTAAGGTGGTGGCTTGGCCGGCTGGGTGGGGAGCACTGAGTCAGCTCAGATCACTCCTGTGGTGGAGGCAGCAGCCCGTGTGCAGCGTGGGTGGACGGAGCTGTGTCCCCCGAGGCCGGAACAGGGTGCTCCTGTGCCGCACACCCGGGACTAGCTTTTGTGTCTGTGGGGCAGGGGCTGGGTGGGCAAGGGAAACCGTCCTGACACTGTAGCCCATTCCTCCTCCTGGCCTGGAGTTGGGGGGGGTGGGGCGCTTCACCACGCGGATGGAGGGTGGCTTTCTCGCTGCCTCTGTACCTGGCTTCCTAGGTGTGGCCATGTGCCTGGTCTTGTCCTCATCCTCAGGGCCCCACAGTCCTGCCGGAAGCCTGGCACGCCAGCCTCCAAACACCGCCCGACTAGGCCACAGGACACTCGGCAGCCCTGCCAACTACGGGCCAAGTGGCCAGAGCCTGGCTCCGAGTCACCTGTCGGTTTATTTAGTCAGGCTATTATTAGGCCATTTCAGAGCCGCCCCTTCTGTATCTAGAAGGTTCTACGGACATGAGTCTGGGAAACAGCTCCCCAAACGGCCCTGGCCTGGCAGTCTGCTGGTCAGGCATGGAGTTCACCTCTGGTGGCGGCCCGTCCCACACCCTCGACTCCTATGCAGTCCCGTCACTGACCACAGGGTTTTAATTGCAGGACCCGTTCCAACAACCTGTTAAAACATGGTGGACTACTATGAAGTTCTAGGCGTGCAGAGACATGCCTCCCCCGAGGACATTAAGAAGGCGTAAGTAACTGATTCCTGAGGTTACGCACGAGGGCAGCTCCCCTCGGCTCTGGGAGCACACCTTGTCGCCTAGTGTGGTGGCTTCTATCGGCATGGAGCAGTCGCTGCGGGCCACACAGGCTGTTTGCGGTACAGTTAGAAACATGCGGGCAGGCTGAGTCCCCTCAGGGCAACTGGCCTGGGAGCCAGGGCAGCACCCGCGGGCACTTGGCACTAGAGCCCAGACGAGGCCAATCGGTGGGAAGGCTGCCTCGACTGGTGGGCGTGGGGACTTCTACCCCAGTCAGAGTGGGAGCCGGGCCCTGCAGCAGGGGCCCTGGGCCGCCTCTCCAGGGGAGGTGAGCGTGCTGGGGTGTATGAGGGCCCCCAGCTGATGGCCGATGCCCAGGCGGTGCAGGAGGGGCCGGGCAGGCACCGCACTGTGCTCAGAGCAGCGCGGTGGGTGTGGCGTATGCTGTGCCTTGGAAGTGTGGGGCTCCATCCCTTCGCCCTCCTTAAGCTGGGAGGGCTTTTGTGTTCCGTGAGAGCAGTCAGGCTGGGTCTGTCTGCAGGACAGCCTTGAAGCACTCAGAGAAGCTGTGACTGTTAAACACAGCGAGGTTTTCCTCTGAAGCCTAGAGTTACACAGAACATGACCTTTTTTTTGAGAGGGTTTTGCTGTAGGATGCATGCGCTCGCCAGACAGACAGAAAGCGAGAAATCATCCCCCAGGGGGATGGTCATGCCGCAATCCCTTCTCCATTCTCCTCTTGGGATCTTGGGCACGCACGCACATGCGCCTGACGTGAGTTTTAAGCCACCGGGTCCGGGACGCGAACTGCGGTCGACCATGTGGGAGTCCAGCAACATAGCCATTACGCTAACTGCTGGTCCCATGACTTTTTTTTAAAGAATTATTTTATTTAACTTTATTTATTTTAAAATGTGACTAGGGAGGGACAGAGTGAGAGGAAGAGGGGAAAAGTGAGAAAGCAAGACACCAGGTCTGGTACTTAAACCACAGTCAGCCGTATAGGAGTCCAGCATCTTGGTCACCATGCCACCTGCTGGCACCACAGAATGTCACTTTCTAGAAGAGCAGAATGGGAGCCCCCAGAGTGCCGGCCTGGTACCAAGCGTCTGTATCTGGGCTCATGGTTTCGTGGTGAGTGTGCCACAGGGTGGGGCTGCCTCCTGACTTTCTTGAGACTCCCCCGACCTGTACCCAGGGTGGGCCACAGTTGTGGGCTTCCCCGCTCTGGGGGCCACACTCTCCCTGTCGGTGTCCCGCTCACGCAGGCCTGCAGGGAGCCTCGACGCCCTCCGTGGGCTGTCCCTTGTGTGACCAGTGGTGGTGACAGCCCGTCTCCTCCTGCATTCTTATACGTGACTTAGCGTTTTTAAAAAATAATTACATGTTTTTATTTTATTATTTTAAAGATGATTTGCTATAGGGCACATGCACCAGAGAGAGACGGAGGAAGATGAGAAAGCAAGCTGCCAGGTCTGGGACATGGTTCAGGTCCGGGGCTGGATCAGGGCTGGCCACGTGGAGTCCAGCACCCCAGCTGCCATGCTGTAGGCTGGCCCCTCGACTCACCAGCGGGTTGGCACTGCACGTCCCGTGCGCTCTTCCCGCTCCCACAGGGTCTGCAGCTCACCTGGGTAATCGGGCTCCACACGTCCCGGTCCCGGTGGCAGGAACACAGCACTGTCGCGGAGGCCTGCAGCGGTTTCCATGCCGATGGCTCTCAGGAGAGCTAGGCCGTGGCTGTGGTGCAAGTGAAGTGGCAAGCTCCGAAAGGGCGCTCCGGGCCTTATTGTAGGCCTAGACTCCAGGGCACCTTCCTGTGCCACCACCTTTTCAGGTTCCTAACTCCCATGTGGGCCTCACCTGTGCTGCGAGAACCCGACCCGACCCCGACAGTCTCCCTGCATCACCACCGTGGGTCTCAGCCCGCCCGGCAGACCTGCGCCAGGGCCTTTCCCCTGCTGGCCCAGTGGCCTAGCCAGCATGCCACCACCTGGCCCACAGGTTAGGCCAGGTAGCCTCGGTCCTGGCATCTTCGCAGAGGTTGGTGTGTGCTGGCTTGGATCTGACTGGGGTCTGGTCTCCGAGGCAGTGGGCAGCGGCACCTCAGGGGGAACCCTGTCCTGGAAACGATGGTAGAGGGACAAGGGGACCGTGCGGGGACCAGCCCCCTCCTGCGGTCACAGTGCGTGCCGCTAGCCCCTCACTGCCGGACTGGCTGCTGTGAGCCTCGGGCCCGAGCAGTTTTCTGCCTCTGCAGTTTGGCCTTACTCCAGGTTTTCGAGAGTATTTCCCTGTTTCGTTCTGGGGCAAAGTGGTTTTGCCACCAAAATTGTTACTCTGCAGTCAGCATTTTCGAAGCCGCGATCTGGCTTTATCCTGTTGGTCTGAAGCCGGGCTGCTCTCCGGCTTTGGGTGTAACCATGCTTGCTCTGGTCCCAGATACCGGAAACTGGCCTTGAAGTGGCACCCGGATAAGAACCCCGAGAACAAGGATGAGGCGGAGCGGAAGTTCAAACAAGTGGCCGAGGCGTATGAGGTGCTATCTGACGGTGAGTGCGTGGGCAGCGCTGCGGGGCCAGCTGGTGCAGGGCACTCGGAGCACGGCATGACACATGGGGCTTGGTTTGTTTCCTGCTGTGCTTGGAGGCCTGAGGGGTTCTACTCATGAAGACTTGAGTTGTGCAGGTGACCTGAGTGCTACGGGGTGGGTGGCCCTTACCCAGTCAGAGGACCCGGGGAGAGGCCGCCCAGCCCCTGCTCTGGCAGTCTACACTGGGGGCGGCTGCCCCTTCTGGTGTCATCTTGGTCATCTGCCTCTTGCCCTCGCCCTCTCTGGGCTTCCGCAGTGCCTTACTAAGGGCGTGGGCTCAGCTCCCTGCATGGATTTCAGGAGTTTGAGGAAAGCAGGTTGAACATGCAGCAGTCTCCGGCCCTAGACCAGGATGCTCCCCGGGGTGCTAGTCCATTGGTCCGTCAGGCCCTGCCCTGCATTTGCGAAGAGGTGTGGGACCTGCTGCCAGCCAGGGGCACGGAGCACAGCGGGCAGAGCAGGGCTGGCAATGGGAGGCCGGCGAGGACGGGCAGGGCTGAGGGGAGGCAGGTTAGCCTGACAAGGTGCGCGTGTGCGATTGGGCTGTAGGTCACCGTTAAGGGTCCCAGCGTCGACAGTATTGGGCCTTAGCCAGCCAGCTTCCTTCACGAGTGTCCCATCTCCCTGTCCTGTTACGGGAACCCCAGGTTGCCGCAGTTTGTCTACGAAGACACACAGTGCTGGCTTTGAGATCTGGCTTGGCCTGAGACTAAGACCCCGGGCCTGGGTGTCCTTGTGGTGTGGGCTCCAGTATCAGGAAAGGAGGTGGGACTGAGCTGAGACTCCTCCTCGACAGAGCTGGCCTGAGACTGCCACAGAAGGCCTGTTCCTCCGTGCAGGGGAAGGGGGCAGTGCAGTCGCTGTGCTCTTACTCTGCAGAGGTGCAGAGCCCGTCCTCATCGGCCAGGCATCCAGGCCTGGGTGTGAGCAGTTTTCTGAGCCTTTTGTCTCATTGGGTAGCGCACACTGCCCTTCGGAATGAGGGGTGGTGCGTCCCTAGCACCTGCGCGCCTGGCAGGGCTGTGCGGCTGCTGCACTGGGCTGGTGCAGGAAGCCTGGGGCCATGTGGCGGGGCCGCTGACCCCAGCTCAGCACAGGTGCCCGCTCTGCCCGCCTGGCTGTCCTGGCTCTGGCTCTTCCTGTCGTTGGGCGGCATGTGCTCGGTCTGCATGGCCGTGTAGTTGGTGATGGGATGGGGACTGGGGGCTGGGTTGACATAAAGGAGCTGTGGAATGACTGTTTAACTGTTCGTGGTAACGTCTCTAAGCCATCTTGAAGAGAGTGTGTTCCTCTCTTGCCTCCTTTGGTTTTAGAATATGGATGGCCTCATTCCTGCAATTTCAGTTGTGCAAAATGGAAAGTGGACTTTCACCTTAGGAATACCTTGTCTAGTGCACTTTGAGAGTGGGAAAGAACTTGCGCTTGTGCCAGCTCATGGCAATATGATTAAGGTGGCTGGATTCCACTGGCTGTGTGGTTCGAGTCCTGGACCCTGGTGCGTGTGTGCACACGTGCCCAAAATCCCAAGAGGTGAATGGAAGATAAGGGATTGTGGTGTGGCCATCCCTCCAGGGGTGCTCTTTCACTCCCTACCCCTCAGAGCACACGTGGCCTCTAGCAAAATCATCTTCAAAAAAAGAAAGAATTTGGCCTCACTTACTCTCTTTTTAATCCATAGCTAAAAAGCGGGATATCTATGACAGATACGGCAAGGAAGGACTGAACGGTGGAGGAGGAGGTACGTAAATGCTCGGGATGGAGGGTCTTGGCGCCTGCAGCAGAGCCTCAGTCAGCCTGGCAGGCACAGGTGTGGGGCGGACTGGGGCAGGGAGGGACGGAGATGGGCTTGAGCACCTGCTGGGATGTCTGCGCCTACGTGGTGAGGCCCCCGCGTTTTCTGTCGTCTCAGAACTCCCCGAGGGTTCAGAGTCTGCTGAAGGTAGAGCTGCCGTCTTAGCTGGGCCCGGTCTCCCGTGTCTGTTGCGAGGGGGCTCCGGTGGCCGCTGTCGGCACTGGGAGTCCACGATGGCTGAGCTGTGACAATGGGGACATGGTCTGAGTGACTGTTTCTACTGTTGGCTCTTGTACCCTCACGCCAAGTAGTAGGAGCAGAGTGGAGGAGACGCAGGGTGGGCTGGAGAGGTGGAGGAGCTCGCTGAGGCCACCCGGGCAGCGGTTAGCCTGTGCGCCCTGATCGCTGGGCCCTCCGTGGGGGGCGTGGTCTCTGTGCTGCGGGAACATTGCTCACTGCGAGACAGCGGCATGCAGACCGAGAGTGTGCTGTGTTGACAGGCGGAAGTCACTTTGACGGCCCCTTCGAGTACGGCTTCACGTTCCGTAACCCAGATGACGTCTTCAGGGAATTCTTTGGTGGAAGGGACCCATTTTCATTCGACTTCTTCGGTGAGTTAACGGCTGCTCATTGCCGTTCATTGCCGTTGGGGTGTGGCGTGTCCCCAGCTGTAGGGAGGGCCGACTCTGGCACACCGGCCTCTCTCCCCAGTGCTTCAGGCTTCAGGAGGCCCTGATGACTCCGGTGCTGACGGTCTTGTCCGTGCTGGAGTGGGGTGCGGCAGGACATGACCCATCTTCCCGTCCGCCTTTACCCAGCTCTCTGTGAAGGGCCCACTTGAGGAAAGGTTCACGGCATGCTTTTCTCTTTCTTTCTTTCTTTCCTTTTCCCAGAAGACCCATTTGAGGACTTCTTTGGGAATCGCAGGGGACCCCGAGGAAGCAGGAGCAGAGGCACAGGGTCGTTCTTCTCCGCCTTCAGTGGGTTCCCGTCTTTTGGGAGTGGATTCTCATCTTTAGATACAGGTATGAAATCCCTAGGTGTTGCCTCCACTATCTAAAGAGAAATTGGTACCTATGACAGTTCAGTTAGAGCAGCTGGAAGAATGCGAGTGTGAAGATAGCAGAGGCATTTTGTAGATTGAGCACCCAGTGGGCACGTGCTCGCACGTGAGAAAGCCAGGGGCGCTGTTGGGAACGGTCAGCCCGAATCCCCTGCTTGCTCTCTGCCTCAGCAGGGTCTTGGGCAGCCATGCAGGCATGTTTTCCAAGCCAACAGCACTGTGATTTGAACTGTGGTCGGCTCTGTGGGATCTGGCTTCCATTGCGTGGTATGTACCAGCACTGTAGGGCAGACCCAGCGTGGGGATGACACCGACACACACTTGGTGATAGAGCTAGAGGCTCGTCTGCTTTCTTTTTGAGGGGCACCCAGTTCCTCTTACAAAGGAGCTGTTCTTCATTTTGATTCTCTGGTTTTTATTTTAAACTTACATGCTAAAAGCCAGCAGTGCCTTGTCGCAGACGTCACCCTTACAGAGTTATTTAGCACTGAACCCTGACACATTATGTGAATGGGTGCTCGATTGGACTCCATTTTGCACCTTCCCCACTCAAGGCCCTCCGCTGATGCTGGGCAGTGTGCACTGAAGGGGGCCGCTGGATGGACTGGGGCCCCGGCCCGGCTGACAGGTGGCCGGCTGCTCCTGGATCAGCCTGTACATGTGCTCACCTCTCAGTCCTGTCTGGCCGGGAAGCTCAGGGGAGCATTGTGGCCTGGTGGACCCTCAGAGAGGGAGGCAGAAGAGGGAGGGAGGAGGGGAAGGTGTGTGGCTCTGTCCCTCATCAGGAGGGTCCCACAGAAGTCAGACGCACCAGGTCACAGGGGCCCCGGGGCCAGGCTCAGATGGACTACCCAACCCCGACCACAGAGACAGGGCATTGCCGACGGAGGGAAATGACCTTGGGTTCTGTAAATGGGCTGACGCCGTTTTTAACCGACTCAGTTAAATCAAAAGTGGGGTGTTGGAAGTCGTGATGTATTTTCTATGCAGCAATGCGGCCTGGCTTTCCCGACTGCCCAGTATATTACTACAATTAATTTCACTGGTTTTCTGATTAGTAGGGCATTAAAAATGTAAAATCACGTTTGTGGCTTCCATTCCGACTCTTGGAACGTGCATGTCCAGGCGGCATTAAACTTAGAGGCCCGAGCTGTGCTCAGCGGTGTGCTGTCCCCGTTAGGAGGGTGCTCTGGGAAGAGGGTTGGTTTGAGCTCTCTAAGCTCTCTTAAGGTGGTCTGCTCTGGTGTGAAAAGAAAGGTGTTTCGGTGTTTGTAGTGTCATGGCTGTGTCATTAATGTTGGTGTTCAGGAACTGGACAGCTGCAATTTTTAGAAAATTATTTGCAGCATGTTTCTAAAATTACTCTTTTTTAACATTGAGATTCCCCCCATGGTCTCATTGCATGGAGGCGGCAAACTGGTTGGGTCTTCCCTCCTGCGGTGACAAGGCCACCCTACTGTGTGAGAGGGCAGCTCACTGCCCTGTCTGCCACATGCAGGGTGCCCCCAGGGGCACGATCTTTGGCGTGTGGGAGAGGAGGAAGAGGGTGAGGGAGGGATGTGGGTGGAGGAGCTGGCGGTCCCTTTCCTCCTAGAGCCCTGTCAGTGGTCCCAGAGGGTGGGGACTGCGCCCCAGCGCAACTCCAGAATTTGGACCACGGTGCTGGGATCCATTACTGCTCGATGGTGGCCTCTAATCACCTTCGTGTCTTCCACAGGGTTTACGTCATTCGGGACACTAGGCCACGGGGGCCTCACTTCCTTCTCTTCCACGTCATTTGGTGGTAGTGGGATGGGCAACTTCAAATCTATATCGACCTCTACCAAGATAGTCAACGGCAGGAAGATCACCACCAAGAGGTACAGTGGCGCTCCGCGTCCGCAGGAGGCCTCGTGTCCCCGCGCTGTGTGCACTGCGCCCTCAGTGGGAAGTCAGGCCGTGTGCACAGCCCCGGTCGGGGGGGGCCATCTAACCTGCTCCTGCTTTAGAGCTCCAGAGGCTCTTCAGCGCCACTCCTGTGGGCCTGTGAGGAGTGCTGCTTATTTAGAGCCACGTGCACTGCAGTGAGCTTTTCCAGAGCTCTTAGAGTGGTCAAGTGGAAACTGTTAGTAAAACTTCTGCTTTCTGAAAATCTTGTTAATCGACACATGTACATATTTATGGGGTATAGTGTCACTTTTTATTAAGTTTTTGCCATAGAGTACGTATGCCCACCAGAAAGAGGCAGAAGGAAAAGTTAGAAATCACCCCCCCCTCCGGGGGTATGGCAGCATTGCCGTCCCTTCTTCACCCTCCTTTTGTTCTGGACTTGGGACATGGACACACACACGCCTGGACCAGTTTTCAAGCCGGTGGGTCTGAGACTTAAACTGTATACAGCTGCGTGGAAATTGAGCCCCTTAATTGCAGTACCACTTTATGTCTCCTACAGAGTAATTTTTTTTTAAGTATTGGGTTGTCGGACAAGTCATGACACATTTTTTACACAGAAAAACAAAATGCGTTAGTACTTGTCTGACCACACCGTGCACTGGTATCAGGTACCGCTAGGCACCCGGCTGTTGGCACATCCTTCCTCCAGCTAAGCCTGCCCATCTTGCTGAATTGTCTCTGAGTGTGTTTAGCATCTGCGTTTAGTGTCAGAGAAAGCTGCTTTTTGTCGTAATTTTCTTTTAAGAAAAAGATCTATTACAAAGAAGGTGGTCGCAGCAATCATTTTTTGCCCTGAAAATTATTTTCTATGTGTCTTTTAAGTGTAATTTTTTTTTTTTGGAGAGGTTTTTGCTTAGGGCGCATGTGCTTGCCAGGCAGAGACAGAGAGATAGAAAGCAAGAAATCACCCCCCAGGGGGAATGGCCACGCCGCCATCCCTTCTCCGTTCTCCTCTCGGAATCTTGGGCACACATGCACACACGCCTGGCCTGAGTTTAAGCCACCAGGTCCGGGACGCAAACCTCAGTCGACTACATGGGAGTCCAGCGACATAGCCATTACGCTAACTGCTGGTCCCACGTGTAATGTCCTTTAGAAGCATTGACGTACCTCACACATGTAGCACTGTTTTTAAATGGATTTTGTCCTACAGAATTGTCGAAAACGGCCAAGAAAGGGTGGAAGTGGAAGAAGACGGCCAGCTCAAGTCCCTGACGATAAATGGTAAGGAGCAGCTGCTGCGCTTGGATAACAAGTAGCTCCACGCTGGCCGCTAGCAGACGCTCGCTGTCGCAGCAGCGTGTGCCGAGGGACAGGAACAGTTTTGAAGATTTCAAACGAACTCGACTTTCAGTATAATTGTACTTAAAGTATTTATAAGCAGCTCATCGGAGCCCCTGTTTGTTAGAGACTTTTTAAGTTTGTTGGGACCACATCATAGGACCATTTTTTGTCTTTGAAATTGTTGTAAATCTCTGTATGCACTTTGCTTTTTATTAAACGTCATCCAGGTGAGCCGCGACTCGTGTGTAGGCGAGACTAACACCAGCATGGATCTGCTTTTCCATTGTGTTTGAGATGTGAGCCGAACAGTGTCAGCCTGTGAGGAGGGTGTCATGGCCAGGGCGGGCCTGCCACAGAAGTAACTCAGTGTTTTCAGTATTTAGTAGTGACAGATTGACTGCATTAATGGTAATACATTTCTGGTTTAATATAAATTAAGGATGTTTTCTAGTTGTGCATGAATGCTGGAACTTAGTAAGTTTTGACAATTGTTTAAATGTGTACTGTTAAGCTTAGGTTTAAAGCATAAAGCTGGGTAACTGGGTCTTTGTCATTTGCTTTTAAAAAAAATAAATGCGAATGTGTTTGGTGCATTCTTCCTGTGTGGGCCGCAGCCTTCTTGTGTCCGTGTGTGATTCTGTGCCTGGGTTTCTGGTGTCACCTGCTAAGCGTGTCACTCTGCTCAGTAAGGCGATGTTGATCTTAGGTCACCAGGAGATGCTTTCTAAAGTCTATGCACAGGGTATACGAAGCTTTTCCTGCGTGTGAGTAATTAAGCAATTTATTCAACATTTTAATTTGGTAATGTTTCCATGGGGTGGGACAAAAGAGCTATGTGATTTTTAGTTTTTCAAAGCATGTTTTAGTTTTCCAGGGTCTAAGACATAAGGTCACTTTAGAACAACATGTGTGGTAAAGTACCCGTGACTTAGGTGTGAGCAAAAAGAAAGGTATTCTCTCAACATGTAAGATCTTTGGAACTTAGACTTCCAGCTGTAAAGAGTGTTTGAAGTCAGTCCCGCTCCGCTGCCTGTTCCCCGATGCTGGAAGTGGGTATTCTGGAATGCTCGAGGGACCGAGGTCACCTGAAATGCAATGCCCTCTGACAGACGGTGTGCCTGTGAGACGGGGTGGGAGAGGGCACGCCTTCCCCCGGCACATCGTCCCTGTCCCCTTCTCATTCCTCCAGCCTGTTGGGATTCTGGCACGTTTCCCAAGCTCTGGGGCCAGGGCTCAGACCCCATGTGGGATCTGGTCCCACCATGGGGCCTCAGAGCCATCCAGAATGGTTTTGAGGTGCTTGCGGGAAAGAACAGTGAGAAGTGAGAAATCACCGGCAAGGGGATGGCCACTCCACAATCTCTTCCCCGTTTTTCTTGGATCTTGGGATCTGCGACATGCGCACACACTTACCCAGTGTGATTTTCACGCCACTTCGTCCGGCACTCGAAATGTGGCTGGCCATGTGGAAATCCCGGATGCAACCGTGGTGCCATCTGGCCCCTTGATGTATTTTTAGCGACGCAAACAGCAGTTATTTGTTTTTATTTTCAAAGATTTATTTTATTTAAAAACGTGGGGACCAGCAGTTGGAGTATTGGCTACAACTCTGGAGTCCCATGTAGTCAGCCACGGTTCAAGTCCCAAACCCAGTGGCTTAACCTCATGCTGGACACATGTGCATGCGTGCCCAAGATCCTGAGAGGAGAATGGAGGAGAAGGGGTTGCCTTGTGGTCATCTCCCCTGAGGGGGTGATTTCTCGCTTTCTGTCTCTGTCTTTCTGGCGAGTGCACGTGCCCTGTAGCAAAAACCTCTTTAAAAAAAAAAAAGGGACAGGTGGGGGCTTGGTGCAGAACGAGTGAGCAAGAAAGTGAGAAAGCAAGCCGCCAGGTCGTGGACTTGAACTGCCGTTGGCAGTGTGCGAGTCCAGCACCCTTAACCACCATGCCACCTGCAGGCCGTAGTAAACAGCATTTTAAGAAGTCTCACAGGAGCTTTGAGGAAAAAGGCATAGCAATAATTATTTGATGACATTTGACCTAAAGAACGCAGCAGTGAGGAGTGTGGTGTTGCCCTGTGTGGACAAGGTAGGTGTGCGGCCATCCTGCCTGGCGAGGTGCCTGAGATGCCGTCCAGCAGTGCACTCCCGCCCGCGCTGCTATGCTGGCGTTAGGCTGACCAGTGCTCTCGGCCCTGGCTTCTGTTGTGGCGTGAGAACTCAGGGAGGCTCATACCTGGACCTTTGATAAGCAGGGCTGAGATGTCACCTGGGGACAGCAGGCAGAACTCTGGTCTGTCCCAGTGTAGCGAGTGTGGCACGGTTTGGAGGCGCCTTGCCTTAGCCTCGGTGTATGGAATGGTGGTGACTGCTGGATGGCCTGACCACCCTCGTCACGTGGCTGCTGCAGCTGGCGGGCCGATGTCCTCAGCCCGGAGTGGCAGCAGGGGGGGGCTCCTGGGGCTCTTGCTGGTGGCCCATTCGGTCTGACCCTCCTGTCCGAGGGGCTCCCAGGACTGTGGTTTCATTCAGCCCTGTGCCTGCCTGCCCTGTTTTTTTGATGGTTGAATGTGATCAGGTTCGTTCCCAGAGTCGGGCCCAGAGAGCAGCCTTAAGTGGGTGGGTTGGAGTGAGGCCGATCGGGCTCAGTGAGGCCGACGGCAGTGGCGTTTCTTGCAGACCTGAGTCTGGGGGATGACAGTCCCTTTGGGTCCTTTTGCTTTGTGTACAGGCCACAAAGCAGGGTTGAAGGCCTAGTAGCCTGCCTCTTGGCACCACTGCCCGTGTCGGGGCGACTGCACATCTGCAGCCCAGCCCCCACTGCACGTGGTCCATCCTGGCTGGTCCTGGCTGGTCCTGGCACAGGGCTCTTCTTGGCCTGTCGGTTTTCTCCTAGGCCCTGCTGCTGGCTGGGTCATTGGTGGCTTCTTCATGTCTTTTATAGAAGGGACACCCAGGAGCCCAGGCTTGTCTCCGGGAAGCAGGAAAGAGGCCAGCGCCAGCTCTGATCAGAGATGGTAACCTTCAGTGGCCTCTTGGGGAAGAGCATAGGCACTTGCTGAGGTGACCCCCGCCGCGGCCATGTCTCAACATGGGGCGGAGGCTCTGGCTGTGGGCAGCATGCATCCTTCACCCCCGCCTTTGGAGGAGGAGGGAAGTGACGGCTGCTCCTGTGTCCCCGCTCCTGTGTACCGGTGCTCTGGACTTTGGAGTCAGGGCTCAGGGAAGGAGGCCCTCCCTGGGTAGTGTCGCTCGGGCCTGGGAACTGCTGTTCTGCCTGTGTGGCTGCTGTTCCCTGGAGCGCTCTGCTCTGCTCTGCGTTCGGTCCCTGGGGACCCCTGGCTGGACTCCCCTGTCCTTGTCCCCTCCCACCTCCCAGACCGGAAGTTCCTGTCTTCATCCTCCCGTGGCCAGTGCGGGGGCTGCACCCTTCCTGCTGGCTCTGAGGACACCAAGGCCAGCTGGAAGGCACACAGGCAGCTGTGGACCCAGGGGAACCAAGGTCCCACGCCCCGAGTGCTGAGCACCCAGTGGGTCCCCCACCCCAGCCCTCACCTGCTGTTGCCCGTCCTTGTCTCGGTCTGTCTCTGGAGCCTGGTGAGCTGTGGGTGCCCCTACCCTCGTATTTGAGGCATTTGTCTGTGACCTGTGTGGCCAGCAGGCAGGCCGGCTGCACCAGGGGCTTCCGGGCGTTCTGGGTGGAATCGGAGCCGACGGGCCAGGGTGGGTGCAAGTGGAGCCTCCTGAGGATGGGGGGGGGGGCTGGCCAGATGTGTCCCCATGGGATTTTACACATCGCCAGCGCTGTCACGCAGCTTCTTAGACGCGGTAGCTTCCCTGGACGGGCTTGGGACGCACACCCGCGCTCTGCCGGAACCCCAGCGCTGGGGGCCACGCCTGGCCAGTCTCCTCCTTACGGTCCTTCAACTTGGGCCTTTCCGAGCTGACCTGTTGGTTGTCAGTCTTGGAAATAAGTAGCTTTAAACATTTTACACCTGTCATTGTGGATGAATGTTTAATTTTTTAAAAAATTTACCAGGGGGTGTGTGCTTTTATTTTTTTTAAGAGCATTTTTGCTATAGGGTGTGCGTCCTTGTCGGAGAGAAAAGGAGGTATCACTTCCCCCCCGGGGAAGGATGGCCGTGCCGCAGTCCCTTCTCCATTCTCTTGGGATTTGGGCATGCACACGCAGGCCCTGCGTGAGGTTTAAGCCGCCGGGTCTGGGACGCGGACCACGGTCGACACGTGGGAGTCCAGGGACTTGGCCGTTACGCCAGCTGCTGTGTGGCTGTGGCTTTTAAGGGGAGAGGGTGAGAGGAAGCACTGCAGGGGGTGGCCACACTGCCATCCACTGCCCTCCAGCTACCCACCTCAGGTTGTGGGCACGCATGCACAGGTGCCTGGTGTGTTGTTCAAGCTGCCAGGTCAGCTTTGGAACTGCACAGTTGGCCCCAGGGGATCTTGCTGCCTCGACTGCACTCCGCCAGCTGGCCCTCGAGTGTGTGTGTGTATTTAAAGGATTTGTGTATTTATTTGTTTATTTTAACGTGACCAGATAAGGGATGGAGGGAGGGAGCGAGTGAAGCGAGCCGCGAAGTCCAGGACTCACCGCGGCCGGCCACGTGGGCGGCCAGGGCCTCAACCACCACAGCATGCGCTGGTCCCAAGTGTGTGGTTTTCATTTCAATTTTCTTTCTGTTCTTTCGTGAGCTGTTTGTTATTTCCAGTCTTCATTCATAAGTGGAACAGTTTTTAGAAATTGTTTTCCAGTTTGACTTGGAAAAATTCACTTTAAATTGACGTGAAGAAAAATTATTTGTATTTTTAAATTCTTTTTTTTAATTTTTAAAGCCTCTCCGCTCCCTGTAATGTTAAATCTTCACGTGGTCTGTAAAACATCTGTATTTGGAGGGAGAGGTTCAGAAGCAGCATGCTTTCCCTGCCACTGCTGTGTATTTCTGTCCTTCGGGCTTGTCCGCGCCGTGTGCAGCCTCTCTTAACTGTGAGCCGAGTGTCCATCCGTCCGTGGTGTCCCTTCTCTGTGGCTGGCTGTCCTGACCCCACTGTGAAGCGGTTTGGCCTCTGGCAGTTGGCGTGTACTGGCTTTGTCTGGGTGCACGCCTGGTCAGGACCAATGCAGCCCCTCTCTCTCCCTTTACTCATGACAGAGCACGTGTAGGTGTGAGGGAGGCGCCTGCTCGCCAGGGCTCCTTGATCTGGGGGTACCTGTGCCGACGGGAGACGGGGCCTGGGCTGGGGCACACACCAGGGCCGTGGCACTGCAGCACTGCACCGGTGCCTGGCCCTGTTGCACCTCTTAGAGGACAGAGAGCGGCCCGAGAACAGGGCCGTGTCCGTGGGGGCTCTGCGCACGAGCCCCAGGGCGGGCTGGAGAGCCAGCCGCCGCCTCAGCACCCTGCGAGGCGCACCCCGTGGCCGCACCTCGGGAAGGGCGATGGCGCGTTCAGGGTCTCCTCCGAGTGTGACTCTGAAGCGACTCGGCCCTTGTAGGGTGTGCGGTCTGAGCCGTGGCTTCTTGTCTTTCCTGTTTCTAATCGTTTTTGGTCTTGGCACACTCGCTGGAGAGAGAGACTGAG